AGAAATGAACGACATTCGACAAATGTGCGCTACGAGTCTCTTGGATTTCCCCATTCTCAGTGCCTTTTAAAACGCACAGGCTGCAAGAGGCCAAGGCCATCAACACGAGCCTGACGGCTCTCGGCAAGGTCGTCATGAGCCTGAGCCACGAGGGGGACCACGGCCACGTGGCCTTTCGGGACTCCAGACTCACGAGGATTTTGAAGGACAGCTTGAACGGCAACTCGTACACCACGCTGCTCGCAAACCTCAACCCCATCGCCGAGAACTACGAGGAATGCTTCAACACGCTGCAGTTCGCTTTGCGGTGCTCGACCATTCAGACCGTGCCCCACATCAACGTGCTGGTGTGCCCACTGCTCCAGTTGCTCATCTGGTGCTTAAATTTCAGCTGGTTCTTAATTATGCAGAAACAACATGCTGAAACGGCTCAATAGTCACAAATACTCTGATGAACTGGTTTGAGGAAGTAGTGACATGTGTACGCATGTATCAATACACATATACACATACGATGATACGTCATAGTTTTGGAACGCAAATTTCACTATGCTATTAGAATAGCTGTCCCTGTAAATACGGGCCTAGTCGTGTTGTTTATTACAGCGGAACGGAATCAAAATCGAACAAATTATGCCACTGCACTGGCGGATGTTATGTCCTGCGGCAGACAGCGGGCACTACTCAAGATAAGGTCATCGAGCAGCTGACGCGCAAGATAGAGGACCTCAAGGAGGAAATTGAGAGGATGCACGCCCACTACCAGAAACTGATCGAGCAGATCGCCGGTCCGGATTACACCAGGTCCCTGGGACTCCTCGAAATAGGTGCGCACATCTCTGAATGCCTTTTCTGGGACGCAACACAAACAAAAGCTCGTCCCGGCAGCTTGCTGCAAACTACAGGCTCTATTTTTCTTCCATTAATTGACCTCATCTTGAGGCTTGTCGACCTGAGACCTCACATGAGATCCATATTTTGGAATGTGGTCGCAGGGCCCCCAGGAGAGGAACAGAATGAACAGGACGAAGGCGACGCTTACCGTGACGCCGTCGCCTTGCCTCCTGATCTCGGGAACACCAAATCTCGAGCGGCCAGCGCCGCGGGGACGCGCCCCGTCTCCGCGCGCGACTCGGAAGGCACGGCTGCCACCGGAGTGCGGAGCAGGAGGACAAGCAGGGCCCCTAGGGGAGGAATGTCCCTGCAGATGGTGCGTCATTCACTAGGGAAAAAAGGGCCAAATAACGCTTTTGCGAACACACATAAAACACATTTTATCAAAGTTCTGCACGCTATTAACACAAAAAAACACAAACCCGTAAATTTTGTACACGTTTGAACACGTGTTATTTGGCCCTTTTCCTCCTGGTGATTTTTCGCACCATGCTAACCTGAAAGCGCCGTGAGCGATGCAGAGATGGGGATTAGATCATGAATTAATTGAGCGTTGCTGCTATGCAACGCATTGTTATATACTGCGTCATATAGTGCATTATTTGTGCGAAGCACTGAAGTGGCACCCTGTTTCAAATAGCACTGGCAGATTCGGGGTGAAGCTAGCTGAGCGAATTTTATCCAACAAACGTTCAGGGTAAAATTGCGACCGTAGACGAATCACAATGCACCTGCGTTGTCCCAAAACCATTCGAAAAAAGTTGGCGGAAAACACGGCAAGCAGTAGTGCTTTGCTGTGTCAAGTAAAGTATTACCGTTTGCTACGTGGCCCTACTCGGTATTGATACAATGTACTGCGATCTTCCCTCCGCCATGGATGGTGCTGGACCTACCGAGTGCGTCGATTACATTGCCGTGCAATGACAAAACGCAGCCCATGTACTTGAAAGGCGGTGACAGTCGTGGAAACAAGAAGAGTTTTGTTAGGACTCGATTGTTCACGGTCCCATGTCCACTGAGTGCAGAACCGGTGATTTTCCCGCATAATGGAAATTCAATCAATTGATGTTGCAGAAGCCTTTTCCCCATCCGCTCAGGTTGAGAACCAGAAGGCCCACCTCATGCACGAGCTCGAGAGGCAAAAAAGCTACGCCAAGGAATTGGAGGATCAACTTCGGCGGCATCGATCCGAGCTCGACGACATGAGGGAGAGGATGTTTAGGAGCGAGCAGCAGCAAAGGGCGGACAATCGCAGACTGAGAGAGAGTCTCCAAAAGGCGAGAGAGCAGGCCTTGGAGAAGGGCCAAGAGGGCGAATTCAACGTAATGCGAAATCAAGGGCGCCGTGGATAAGACAATGCTATAATTGGTGGATGTCAAATTTAGGAGCAGACATTATTTCTAATGAACCGCCGTGGCATCCACCTCATTCTATCAGAGTCGTTTGTGAATTCAAATTCGCCACATCAGATATTGTCACTCTCATTTGAGCATTTTTACCCAACAAGATACCCTTGAAAAGCGAAGGCTTAACGGCGAGTTTGATTCTCAATTGCCTCGATGCATCTGCTGCGGCAGCTAGAGGAGCAGAAGAGAGTATTGGGCGAGGAGATCAACCGGCTGGAGGCCAGCAACGAAAAGCTGCGAGGGCAGCTGAACCACTTCACCACCTACATCGATGAGCTCACAAACGACCGGAACCGCGACGCGGCAAAGTTCAAGGAATCGGAGAGGCGCATGAAAGAGGGCGGGGAGATCAGATACAAGGTGTACGGCGCATGTCGGTCGTGTTTAGTAGGTGGGGACAATGAGCGACCCCGGGAGGCGGCGCTTATCAGCGTAGTGTTACCCGTGGTGGTCGTTATCCAAGGAGGGCGACTCCGCGGGCACAGCCAAGGATACCTTGCGCAGCGGAAAGGAAACGCCTGCTGTGTCTCTAGTTGCAATGAGAATCGTCAGCAATGAGTAAGAAGCAATTGGTCAGCCGCCAATTAATGAATCCTGGTCTGTTGATGTAATGCTCGAGAGAAGCACCGGTGATGGGTCAATCACCGGTTCTTCAATCGAGCATTCCATAAATCGTTGAATTGAATATTGGATCAATTGAGCAATCGGTCGTTCTCACAATAATGGACAGGCGCCTACGCAAACAAGCTCATGAATAAACAACAAGTAAGCATACAAACGAACAGGCAAATGAATGATGAATGAATGAATGGAATAATTAACAAAAGTAGAAAAATGCATTGACTGGTGAATGCAGCAACCCACTAGGTAATCGCGATTGCATTCAATAGTGCATGGACAGGCTTCTTATCTACGTTTACGTTTTCGCGTTTGCGGTGTCACGCGCAAAGCGTAAATTTGAAGAAGGGGCTAGTTTTGTTTACGTTTTTGCGGATCATTGTGGCACTCAGGCTGCAAGTCGCGCACGACGATCAGGACTCCGCCTATTCGACCACCGCAACACAGCGCCCACCTCGCCCTTGGCAAGGGCAACGGCGACGCGGAACAAATGTTCTTTTCTTACCCATTTCGGCTCGTCTGGATGCCACTCCCCGGACTCGCTGAGTCTGTATGTACTTCTTTTATGTATGCGAGGCTGTCTTTACGTATTTTATGCGTGTTTACACATAAAAAACGTAAAAAATTGTGGAGAAATGCGTAATACGATCAGTTTTTGCTGCGTAAATGGCAAGCCTGAGCATGGGCGCCAACGCTGTGGTATCCATGGCAACACGAAAAGACTTTTTCCTGAAGCTCTGCTGGTCGGTACAAATTCCACATGAATACGATTGTGCCGCGTCCGGCATTCACTGCAACCCGTCGATTGAAAATTTTCATTTGATAATGGAATTGAGTTGAGATGCAAAATTTTTGGTCGAAAGTCACCCGAGCCGTTTTCGAGTCTCGCAATTGTTCGGTACAAATTACCTGCAATGGGCGTTTCCGTGCGACTGCGCACATGATTGATTGTAATTTACACGTGTTGCAGAAAATGGCGGAGCAGGTCGAGAAAGACAGGGCCAGGGAAATTGAGAGCCTGACTCAACGCCACTCTCAGCTGCTCACGGCGAAGGAAAGAGAAGCCTCCGAGCTGCGAACACTCTTGGAAGACACCACTGCTCGAAGCACCGAACAGGTGCAGAATTGATTTGGCATCGCTCAAACCACAGCACTTCAGTATATGAGTATGAATATATGAATATTTATCAGTCGCAGTATGTTTAGAGTGTAGTTTTAAGGTACTTAAAAATATAATCTGGCTACCGTCGTGCAGAGTTTCTTGATCTAGGTCGAACGGGATGAAGTCCTGCCCTTGAAGCTCACCGAAGGGCAAGAAAGTATAACGATAAACAAATAATGCATAAGAAGGAAACACAGCACACCGAGGCAAGATGCTATTCCTCAACTTCGTGTATTTTCACAGAGAAAGGCGAAGTCACTGGTGCGTTTGAGCGCGCTGAGTTCCTTCCCTTTAAATTGTGGTCGACAGGTGAAGACCCTGAAAGAGGAGGTCGAGTACCTAACGCTCTACGCCAGACGCATGTGGCACATCTTCGAGGGCCTTTGCCAAGGCCGCTACCCCGTGCAGGTAAGACGAATTGAGCTAACGCTTTAGGGTGTAATGGAGATCATTGTGAGGCATCATCAAATATATCTGCAACGCGGCGATCCTTCGCATCAAAGGCAGTAGAGGCTTCCCAATAGGTGGCCTGCATCGTCAGAATACATCGCTTTCTGTTTTCCATTGCTCCTGCCCTTCTCTTGTCCAAGTCTTTGAGGCCTCTCACGTTCAGGAATCCTTGTTGCTCAGGCAGCTAGGGGCGTGAGGTCGTTACGAATACCGGCAGCGGACAGGCCTGAGAACCTGGACACGCCCCGAATGGAGCGGCTGCAGGCGAGCGTGGCGCGGGCAGGAGATTTCATTCTGGCTGTGGAGGGGAGAGGACTGGAGCAGGTGATGCCCGTAGAGGAGATCTTTTAAAATTGTCTATGGCGAGACAAGGCGGTGCGTTTACGGGTGCCCCACAGGGTGTAAGCTTGCACCTTGTAGGCGATGAGGGGGATATATGCATCCAAGGACATGGTGATGCCGGTGGATGCCGAAAAATCTCGATGATGCGCAGCGTGGGCAGATGATCCTGTACACGTGTGTGCAATTACAAATAGGCATTGTGCAACACCGATCGGGAAAAAGAGGGCAAATTAAGTAACAAGTTCAGTTGCTTATAGGTTAAGCATTAATTTTTGCACATACGTTGTGCCTGGAATCCGTGATGCATTTCGCACGTGCCTTTAAAACTTTCTGGCATACATAGATTAAATTTCATTGGGCGTTTCTCCGTACTTGTCGACGGGGTCTCTTTCGCTCAACCTCGCTCATCTTACGCCCTGGGAGTGGCGCGATTCAGGCCAGCGCCACGGCGGGTGGCGACGACACGGCAACGTCTCAGGCCGCCAGTCGCAACAACGACTCGTCGACTCCTGCGACCGAAGAGGTGGCGACGGATTCCTTGCCGCAGTCCGTGCATTCGAGCAAGTGGAAAGCGGGGGCGGGAGAGTCGGAAGCAAGAGCGGCGCCGGAGGAAATCGGTGCGATGAAGCGGCGCCGGCCCTCCTGCATTAGGGGGCCGCGGCTGATGCGTGCTCGCCATGTTGCATTGGTCACGCAGAAATTACATGCGTGCTGGTCTGGCAGGCCATTGCTACTTAGTGGGTGAGAATTCCCTTGTACTGCTGCGTGTCCATGCCATGGATATGCATATCCAGCATGCGGCGGCCATATCCACGCCATGAGCGCCCGTATCTTGGGATACGGACATATCCTGGATATGCATTTTCCAGCATATGCACTTTTTTTTGACGACCATATTAAAAGTTTACACGTTATCATGCAAAGAGGGCAGTCAGCTATTTTGTACTTCATTTGAGCGCATAAGTTCTAATTAATTATAATGGCGCTTTGCATTATTGTCTGTTCAATTTGTCAGGGCAAGCAACCGCGCTGTAGTTCGCGCACTGGTTCAAGTTCCTAAGTGGTTCGAATCATCCCATCATCCCTGGAGCCTAAAAAAGGCAGGCTTTCGGCGTGTTTCTGTCCAAATATGTCCTCTTTTTACACAGTCTCTTTCAGTTATCGGCCGGGAACTACCCGCCGATAGTTTAAGGAAAATAGTTAACCACTCGGTTTGGAGCATACATGAATAATCTGCAACACAATCTAAGATGAATATTGTGTATTATGCAAATTTGAAATAACACAGTAATAGCCGTCTTTGTTTAGAGATGACCCTGTGTCGATTTGGTGCGCTTAGCGTCAATTTGACACTGAGATCAGAACCCCCCTCCCCCCTCTTAGCGTCAATCCTTAAGTCGATGCCAGGATGACTCAGCACCATTACCTAGTAGCCTGACTAAACTTTCAAGACTCTTGTGAGGACAGTCATAACAAGAGTTTCAGCGGTTTTAGAGGACTGTAATGTGGGTCTCTAAAGCCCACAGCAAGCAATGGGGGCAGCCCCGGAGGTTCTCAATTCAGACGATATGGGGCCTTCCTTGAAGATTGAACGTTTCAGGTAGCTTTTTGAAGTAATTCATAAGTTGTCTGCCACTGATCAGGTGCGCTGTGGGGATGTATCTGGGTATGTGCGCATGATCTAGCGCCATAGTCTCGCCAAATTGACGCTAAGCGTACCAACTTCGACATGGCGCCTTCCCTTATGCAATTTTGCGCCAATGCGTGCTGCACACAGCGCAACGGATTTCGCACAAGGAAAAAGGGTAGCAGGGCTCGTAAGGATTTGCCAAAATATTGCCCACCCGCTGGATGTCACAGACTCTCAACTAGATATCTAGACGATGAAGTAGATATTTTAATATCTGGGTGACTTTGCTTATCTTTTTACGAAACAACTGAACAATTCATCCATCATCTCGGAAACAAATCCATGCTCCTAACTATTGGCGTATCTGCGGGGAAGGAGTGGAAATGACGAAAAATACGCAGAAGCTGGCAGCAGATGGTTTGGTTGTCGATGCGCGTCCCGCTGGGCAGTGCACCGGATTCCACGTAGCGAAGCCTAAGCCTTACCGCATCGATGTAACTTGTGGTCACCATTTTGTTATATGTTCTGTATACTTTGTGATATATTTTGTATCATATTTGCTGTGCACCGCCGACAATGTCGGAATCTTGCCCGAGTGCGGTGGTGACGCAAATTGCGCGAGTGCCGCCCCAGGTGATGAGCCTCCTGACGAGGAAGACCTTCTGCCCGTGGTGCATGCGCTGCAACAAAAGATACAGGAGCTGGAGCAGAGGGGACCCACGGAAGACATGCGACGACAAATCGGGCAGGAGATGAAAGACGTCATCGAGGCGCAGCTGCTGACGGAGATGACGTCGCAGGGCACGGTGGACTACATCCGGAGCCTTGAGGCCCAAATCGCGCGGTGCGTTCGTGCCTTGATGAGCTGGCATATCAGTTGTGCACGAGTGGAATGTGAAGAGAATGTGGAAATCATCTGCAAAGGATGTGAATGTGTTGTGACTAGAATGCCAACAGAGCGTTGGCCAGAATGTCTACAAGCAGGAATTGGGATCCACGATCAACTCCGGTACTTCGAACACGAGGTGTACTAATTATCCACCACTTCGAAATTCAATCGACTTAAATGTAACCAAAATTATTGTTCTACATTGGATATTTGCTTTATTGATTTTCTTTAGTACTCGACTTAAATGTAACCAAAATTATTGTTCTACATTGGATATTTGCTTTATTGATGTTCTTTAGTACTTTCCTAATGGGCTGATAGTGTTTGATGTGGGCATTCTCATGCTAGTGTATGGCGATGCAATGTGAGGCCATTGAAACCGCCGATGAACGGGCAAAATGCGGTGAAATATTCAACCCTTCCCTCATAGTAACGTAATGCCTGGCCCTTTTCTGCTGACAAAATTGACAAAATTTTCGCGGAGCAACAGAGAAAAATAACTCTCTGAAAAGAAAAGTGCGGAGCAAACACGTAACTGTAACATGCTTTGATGCGGAAGGGTTGAATACGGTTAATGTAGTGTGCCGTTCGCGCAGGTACCGGGTCGAGATCCAGAACGAGCGGCGGCGCAACTTCGACCTGCAGACGGCCCTGAGGTCGGCGCAGCGCAGGACGGACAGCGCACGTAGCGGCCCGTGGCGCGGGCGGAGGGACGGGCCCCAAGGGACCGCCTGGGCGACGCCCAGGAGCCGACCAGCCTCCTCCCCCGGCAAGCACACGGGTAGGCCCGCCACCGCGGGCCCGGCGGTCCTGTCCAGCGGCGCATTGGCTTTGAGAAAAGATCGGATTGGATCGCAGCCGGGATGCGGCTTCGGATCAAGAGGGGGGCAGATCCGGTCACAGTCGGGATCGGGATCAGATCGGGCTGTGGACTGCCTTAAGTTCCAAATGTGGGAGCGGGGCGGGTCTGGAGCCCTGTCGGAACGAAGCAAGGGGGGTGGGGAGTCCAGCGTGCCTGGTAGCGGCGTGGCGTGACCAAAGCGGCTGGTGGGTGGGGCCTGTTGCGGCCTGCTGGCTGGAGGTGTGGCGGGGTTTGGTAAATGAATGGCGCGCTGGGTGGGTGTGCCGCTGTTTGCAGTGATGCGCTTGAAAACGTGGAGCTGCCCATGCCCCCGAAACAGTACACAGTACTGCAGTACATTCTGCTGTACTTTTTGTGCTATCCTACCTTGCTGTTTCGTACCGCATTGCGCATTGCGCTGCGCCGAAAGTTACCATTCACGTGCTGGACCGTCCTGCTGATGCGCTGCACGATCAAGTACAAAGAATTACCGAAACTGTCAGCAGCATTCACCGTTTAAGAATGGGGCCGAAATATGCAGTCTCAGCCTTGATCAGATCCCCACGGGATCATCCCGTTGTTGCCAACTGTTGCCCCTGGGTCTCAACCACCTAACTTGATGAACACACCTAATGGCCATCTTCCTCCCAACGGGTGCGTCCTTTGCCCCAAACACGACTGGCATGGCTTCAAGACACGCTCCGCTGATCCCTTGTTCAGGGAGGTCCCTGACTCCCAAGTCGGTGCTGATGTTGCAACCCGTTGAGTGAAACCGTGGCGTCGGTCAGGTGCCGATGGCGTCATGGTTTTGGTCAGGAAGCAGCGCCAAGCCCACTGCCAAGCCAGTTGATCAGCTGACAGCCTTCACCTTGTTGCCCCCCGGTGCTGTACAACGGCTCACAGAGCATTAGGACCTAAGTCATCTCTCGCTTAGTATAGCGCCATCATGGCCTGAGGCACGCAGCCCTCCACGCCATCCCGCCCCCACGTCAGGTTCACCGTCGCCCCCACCTGGCGCCCGCAGCCCTTCCTCCAACACCCGCAGGGAGCCCCCCAGCCTTCCAACGACCGCCAGCACCCAACCCCTCCCCAGGTTGCTCCCACACGCACCCGCAAACCCCCGGCCTTTCCGGCGCCACATTTTCTTGCTGCTGGGCCAACAAAGGGCGCAATCGCGGAATGGCGCCACCGGAGGGCTGGCCGTGGTGGCAGCGGCCTGCCTCCGCCGCAGCGGACAGCAGGTTCGCGGGGTGCGGCTACAGGACGGTGGTGAGCACACAGTGCTCGGTGCAGCCCGACGAGGACGGGAATCCGCAGAGGAGATGTGAGCGGATCGTGAAGAGACTGAGGGAGTGCCCCGGAAGGTGGGTACAGACCACGCCTGCTGATGCGGGGGGTCAAGCTGGCGAGATTGCCGAGCCTGGATCTCGCGCTGGATTGAGAATCTCGCCGAGTCCTGCAAGACGGCGCATGTCGCGGGCACGGAGCTGGCCGACGGTCTTGGCTTGGTGGTTGCGGGGAATTGCGGTTTCGGTGTTATTGTTGTGATCGCGTGCCCTGGTCCCTTATGCTGTTCCGGGGGCTGATGGGGGGAGAATGGTGTTCGATGGGCAGGCCGGCGGAGGTGCTGCAGCGGACGGAGGAGTCAAGCACGGAGGCCAACTACCGGGATGTCGGGAAGGGCCTGCAGATGTGAGGCGGATGGGATTCACCCCATGGGATTCTCCGCTGTGGCTCGTGGCGGGCGATGGCCGCCAGTGCGAAAGGAAAGCGGGGGGCCGGGCGCCGGAGAGGGGCAAGCCCGGCGGGCTGGGCGGGGGCCTCGGCTGCGATCGACGCAATTCACGTCGAGGGTGATAGGGCTTGGACGAAAAATTCGGAATGTGATGCGTGCCGGATCGCCCGCGGGGGGGGGGGATCGGGGATGCGTGTGTCCGGGGGAAAGGGCCGAATAGCGGCGTTTGTGGCGACTGATGCGTGTGATGATGGTGCTGGGGACAGGCCCGGGCGGTTCGACGGCGGCGAGGAGGGCCACCGGGGGCAGATTCTGGGTTCTGACGTCGGGCAGCTGTACGAAGACTTCTTCAGGGTGGCCGCGGAGTTCGAGCAGAATTACGTCGCGGACGGTGAGGCGGCGCGGGGCGCGGCCCCGGCGTGCACGGTGCTGCGGGTGGCATCGCGGGAGGGCGCGGAGTCCCTCTGCATGTCCAGCCTAAGTGTCGAGTGATGTGGTCTTTGAAATGGGCGTACGAGATCCCCACGTGGGGGAGGTGGGGGGTGGGGGTGGGGGTGGGGGGGGGCGCGGTGAAGATTGCGCGGGGAAGGGTGCGCGGGCGCGAGGCCGGGGTCTTGCCGATGCGCACCGTGGCTGCTGAGCGCTGCAATCCGCCAAGCGCAGTTCTTCGCTGTTTGCTGACCCGTGGTGCTTTCGCTGGGACACCTGTCCATCCTCTGCAACAGCGGGGGATGCAGCCTCGTCAGTTGCCGTGGCACCCGTCACATGACACCCACAGCCCTCCTCCCAAGCCCCCTAATCTCCACCTCTCACATCATCTTGCGCAGGGTGTGGATATGAGTCTCACATAAACTTGCTCAGCAGGGTGTCCCCCGTGATTTGACCTGTTTTCCTTTGCAGTGTAACGAATCTTATCCAACCCATGCCGCCGCACCTGTGTTAGCCTGTTGCTGCTGGTCAGAGGTGTTTGCCGATTTGGACGTGCATGTGCCCATCCTCACCTGTGAGATGCAGGGGCTGGCTTTGGTATCATGAGAGAAAGCTGCAGCAAAAGGAAGTCAGTGGGTGTCGGCAAGGGGTGACTGGACGCCGATGTGCACGGGAACTGATTCCTGTCACCCCTTTCACAGGTGCCTCAGCTGGGGCGTTGGGTCAGGGACCTCAGGACGCTGGTTGCGGCCAGGGCGATCGACAGAGGCAGAACCCAGCGCCAGAGGGCACAGACGGCTTGATGGGGCGGCTCTTTGGGAGGCGAGCCAAGAAGGATCCTGAGGAGTTCTCGTCAAGCAATCCGAAAGGTGCCGTAGGACTATCCTTTCAGTAATGTTCTGTGGAACCTTCCAAACTGTTGCATCGCATTTGAGAGTCCAGGTGCTGGCCACGCACATTAGAAGTAGAATTGTGCCTTGTGCCACCTCAGCAGAATGTGCGAGGCGATGCTATGGAAGTCCTGCCGCTGTCAATCGGATTGCTTGGAGCCAGTGCTCCAAAGTGTTCCTAACGTGCACACAAGCTCTATCTCATCCGCTGAATGGGTGTGCAGTGTCCCGCTTGATGTGAAGTTTGTGGCTGGGCACTGGTGGGAAACAGTAGGGATAGAGAGGAGCCTTAGGCGCGATCTGTGGCCCCTTGCCTGACTTTGTGGCCACACTTTGCAGCTGCTCATCTTTATCAACAGCAAAGGCAGGAATAAGATTGGTCAATCTCACGGTGTTGTGAGACCAATCTGGTTGAGTACCAGGGGCCCCCTCAAGGCAAAGTGGGTCCCTGGTGCGAGTAACTTCTTGGCCATTTCCCAAGTATCAACAGCAGCTGCAAATGCAACGTAGCGCACATTTGCAGCAATTGTGGCATGCTCCTTGCCAATACACGGCCCCCCCTGGATGCGGGGGAATGCCTATCATTCTTTGAAGTTGAGACTGGACCTAGTCCATCTTTCAATGTTTGTGCTCTCTATTGAGGAGTTACAAAGTGTAGGTAGGTTGGCTGTGCTGTGGCTGCCAGGAATTTCACGCTTTTTGAGGGAATGATGTTCACTTTTGATACTGTTGCTTGCTGGGAACCTGTTGGGTGTTTGTTTGAATTGGTTGTGCATTGCCCCTGAAATGGCAACGATTGCTGTTGGCCGTTGCAGGAGCAGCGACGGCTCCCCAGTACAAGGACTATTCGCAGGACTTCCAGGAAGTGTGATGTCGATGACGGCCCTTGATCCCCAGGACCGCCTTTTTGCATGCATGAGAAGAACAACTTTTTGGGTAGTGCTGAAGGGAGGGGAGGGTGGGGTGGGGTGGGGTGGGTGGGGGGGTGGTCGGACGGGGGACATTCTGCCCCTTGTCAAGCTTGGAGTGATTGGCTTGTCAAACAATCAAGCTGGTGATTACATGACACTTGAACATCAAACGTCATGTGTGGGGCGTTTTGCATTGTGCTGGGCAGCAGGGGAAAGAACGATGTGGGTGATTGCTGGATAGGGAAAGGCGCAGTCGAGTTGATCTCCGTTCTTTGAGACCTGGGGAACAGCATTTCTTTTTGTGTTTCACTTTTCTCACAAGGACAGTTGGTTGAAGTGCCATGATGCATTCGTCGGTTTTGGCACCCATGTCTCTGTGCATGTGCACGACCTGTTGTGCGTCCAGGGGGCGGCCAGTGGCACAGTTGGCAGTCTGTGCTACTTTTGCGGCATTCGTGGCAGAGAAAGTTTACTGGTTGCACGTCACAAGGAGACACTGGCCAGGGGCAGCATTCGAAAGCACATGGAAGCCCCCTGGGTACGGCGTTGTAGATGGGGCGTGTGCTGAGATTGGCCATACTGATCGGCTGATCTGCACACAGGCCAGTGCTCGCGCCCTCTCCTGTGTGCATATTGTCGGGATCCTTGAAAGGGTGGAAAGAGGACTGGGGCAGTAACCGCTCATTGAGCTGCAGGTCTGTTTTTGGTGTAGACTTGGTGCATGACTGGCGCTGGTAGAGTTGTGATTTAATTGTTGTTGGCGTTGAAACTTGGGGGCATATGGCGGCCTGCCACACTCGCTCCCTTGTCGAGGCGCCTTCCTGTCACCTGTTTCTGGTGTGGACTTGTGTTCCGCCCCTCTGTCCAACTTCTTTCGAGTGCTGTCTCCGTGGCAACCTGCAGCTCCTGGGCAGTTGCAAGGGAAACGCGGCGTCGATTGGCATTCTGCTCTTGCACCCGGACGCCTGCAAGGCATCCAATTGCTCGCCCAGACTTTTCCTCAGTTGGTGGATCCTAATCCAGGTGCCAAACTACTAGCTGACTGGCTTCAGCAAACAATGGACTGGCGACTCAGCAAACAGCCATGGTCGAGCAAGTGTCTCGACATAATGAGACTGGCGGTCGTCGTCGGGCTGTCGCACATGCCAGAAGTTGGCGCCCGCATCGACACTGCTGGGCTGCTCCAATGGCTGGCCCGGAGTCGCGGAAAACGCTTACCCAAACTACCACCCCACACTGGGGCAGACATCCACATTAATCCCTGTGCACTGACGAAGGCAGGCAGGGTCGAGAGTGGCGACGCAGGAATGGGGACCGTAGGCTCGAGCGCAGGGCAGGGGCACGGCAGGGGTTTACAGCGGAGCAAAGGGACAGCATGAGGTTCCCAACGAGTATGAGTGGAGACAGTAGGAACGCTGTCCCTTACATCCGGTCCGTTCATCAGTGTCCTTAATTCAGTCCCCATCGTTCCATTGTTGTGGCTAGAACTGGTCGAGTAATATAAACGGCTGGACACGTACAGAAGTGATGAGGCATTGGGAATTGCATTAAGGATGTTGATGAACGGACTGGACACAAAGAACAGCACCCCTATGTCCCTTTGTTCGGCTGCAAACCGTTGCCGCGGACACGAGCCAACGTTGTCCCCGTTCAGAGGTCGCCACCTGACCACCCTGCATGCCTTCGTCACCATCACCTCTCAATGCGTCCAGCTATCAACAGTACTCGATCAGTGTCGGTCACAACACCACAGTGACTCATCCCGCCTATGCTGAACCCTCCCTGCATCCGCAGCGAGGCCCATACTTTCCGACCGGATGCCATCGACGTACGTCCTCGCCGGTTCGCCCTCGGACACCCCCTCTCCTTTCCCGGTCCCCGCAAAGCGCGGCGGCCATCAAAAGCGTCCACCGCCATCGGACGGGGCACACCGACCTGGGCGCCGCACCCTCCCCCCCCACCCCCCCCACCCCACCCCACCCCCACGACCCCGTATCTGCCCCCGAAGTGCCTCGCGCATACACTACAGCCAGCCGCGGAAGCCCCAGGCAGCGGGCCCCAAGCTCCCCGGTGGTGAGGCCCTCTGGCGGGCAGACAACCCTCTGAGGCATCGGACGGGCCAGAAGAGAGCGCCGCGCCGCGCGGAGTGCGCGGGAGATCCGCCATGGCGACCGCGCCGTCCCTGTCGCCGATCCCCGAGCCTGCCAACGAGGGGATCGTGGAGGCGGTGGAGATTGCGGAGAGCGGCAGCGGCTTCGAGGAGGGGGAGGTGGAGGCCTGCGAGATGCCCGACCGGTCGCTGGAGAACGGCCTGCAGCCGGAGCGGCCGCTGGAGGAGGGCGCCTGCGTGTGCTTCTTCACGCCCCGCGGGCAGCTCATGGTGGTGCGGCCCAACGGCAGGTTCTGGGAGCTGCACCCCATCACCGTGGGGCATACATCATACGACGCCGACGGTGAGGGAAGGGGTCAGGCCCTAAGGCACAACCGCGGCCGGCTGGGCCGCCGGGGCGGTGCTGGGGGCCCAGAATCGATGATCTCGTTGTGGGGGGAAGGGGGATGGGACGAATCCGGGAGGAGAAGGGCGTTGAGGGCTGGGAAGGTGGGGATGGTGGCTGGCTGTGGAGGGTTTCGGCGGGCGGCATTGTGATCGGCTTGTCTGGCTGCCGCGCCGCAGGGAACCAGCGCCTGGTGTTCTACCCGCCGGAGGCCACCTTCACGGTGATGAAGAGGGGACGACACGTGGGCTTCAGCTCCTTGGCGTGAGTGGCCCCCCCGGCCCCCCGCTCCGCCCTGCTCCCTGGGCACTCGCCCCGCCGAGGCGCGGGCGGGCATCAATTCCGGCCGAATGGCTCGCTGCTCCTGCCTCCATTTCGCGAACGCGCGCGGCGCAAGCGCTGGGCCAAATGATGCCGCGTGCCTTAGGTGGTGCGGGTGGGTTGAGGCTGACAGCCCTTCCCTCCCTCCTTTGGCGCAACCCTCGCGAAGACAAAGCGGGAGGTAGCGTCGGGATTGTGCACGCCTGCGCCACCGCGGAGTTATAATCGGCGGGTGCGCGTTTGCTAATGCGCCTTCTGCGCCGCAGCGACGCTGGGCGGCGCGCGACTCGATGCCGTCGGCGCCGACCATGCAGTACGTAGGGTCGGATGCGCGGTGGCTTCCCTTCGAGATCCCTCGCCGCCGTCCGAGAGTTGTGCAGCGCCCAGCGGCCGCGATCGGCCAAGATCACGGGGTCAATTTCCCGCGCTCGGGGCTGGGGCATGCGCTTGCTTGGGCTGGTCATGAAGGACGATTGTAATCTTCGCCGCTGGTGGCGGGAGGGTTCCTTGGAAGTCAGGTTGGCGAAGATTGGGAGGCTGTTTCCTTCCGGCCCATGGGGAGGCGTCTTTGGCGCTGAGGGAAGCGACGAGCGCGGGGCCGCATCTGCGGCACCGACCCGGGCATCTGGGGCTGTAGGGCTTGATCCTTGGAGTTATGGCGCTGCTTGTGCCTGGGCGAGAAGCGTCGGTCGTCGCCAAGAAAAGGAGACTGTGAGGTTGGAGGCCCGCAAAGGCAGTCTTCGGCGCCTCGCTGTGTGAAAAGAGTTTGCTGC